AGTAGTTTAGAGCTTCGGCGGCTACATCAAGCGGCAAACAGCCACCGTCAGTTCCTGAGGGGCAGTCACGCACGCCTCTCTTCCGCCCTTTCGAGCCGCCAGGTTTTGCTGAAAAGTGCAGCTTCTGCTGGCCTTGTAGCTCCCCTTCCACCTCTTCCTCCCCGCACAAACTCCACTCTCCTCTCCCATACTCTTGAGTCAGAAACCTGGCAGCACGCACAGATACCGCATAAAAATGGTGAGCTTGATGACTGCCTCGTCCTTATTTCTAAAGAGTGCACGCATTTATTGTTTTTTTGCGATTTAAATGCGTTGTCTGATCAATTTTCTTTTAGACGCACGGAAATGGTCGTCCAAAGTGCATGTTCTTTGTCACTTTCGTTGTTTTCCTGTCCTTTTTACCCACTGGTACATGCTAGGTTTAGTTGTGCGCTGGTGAATCTCAAACTGAATCCGCCGATTTTATACGCGTTACTACAAATAGTGGATCAATTTCTTACTGTTACGACCTCCTTCAGAGTTGTATATCGATGGAGGCGATCATGCTTAGAACTCAAAGATATCACACTTGCATTTTATTTCTCTCTTATGTACCATCACCCTAACCCCGGATTCTACTGCGTCAGACGTTCTATGTTGATTCCAGTAGTTCATTGAATATTTGACGAAAGGACAGGCCTGGCTCTTGACTGTTCGGCGCTGCCACGGTCAGCGCATAATGACCGAACTATGCAGGCTCCCATGTCGGATGAATTAGCAGTTGCGGTCGAGCGTTGAAGTTTAACAGGGTTCAACTGTGACTGACGGTCGGTATGACAGTAAACGCACTAGTGTGGAGCTGCCCTCAGTGATGATGCTGATGGTGTTCGGTTGTGAATGGGCTTGTTAACCGTTTTATAGTTGCGGTGAGTCGAAAGTTGTCCAACAAGGTCCATTTGGACCGTGAATGTGTATTGACAGGGATTGGGCGTCGGTGGCGTTGATTCCTGCCACGCCTGTATTTCGTAATTGTTGTTTGGGCTTGGTCGCCTCCAGTCCGCTGGCTTCGAGTACCTGTTACTCATTTGCCTGATAACTCCGTACTGTCCTTTCGGGTTTTATGCAAACACTCCGATTCTCTCTATCCCAGGGGGTATAAAGCAGTGGGAAGAGAACGTTGGTGGACCTTCCAGCGCTTTTGTCATCGTCGAACCGCGAGGCCTTCAGTTCGCCACACCGAAGATCATGGGGGACCATGCCACGACCGCCAACGGTCTCTCTCCAAGTTCGCAGCATGATTCGCCAGCTCGCGACGGGACCCTGAAGCCCATCCGATCATCAAAAGACACCTTCGGGAAAACTGCATTCAAGGATGAGTCTTCAATCGCGTTTGAAAAGTGCAACGGGTCCGTCACATCGTTCATTTCAAGTCCTACCTCAGACCTTAAAACAGGAGACCAAAAGATCTTAGCTGAAGCGTCGGCTCAAAATTTCGTAAGTCAGCCCTGTTAATGGAGGGGAAAAGAAATTTCTTAAACGTTTGCATAGCCTTCCTCTGACTTCATACTGCGCAGTGTACTTTAAGCTCTCGATTCTCTGTTTGTCGTGATCTTGCTGCAGTTTTAGTTTTTTTATTTAGAATTTAGGTAAAGACTAATAAAATTGATTTCTGGCAGGGAGGTTTACGAAAGGGAATGCTTTCTTTAGATAGCTTAGTCCCATAGATACGTTACCGCGACTCCAGTTAAAATTTAATGCCTGTAACAATCTCTAAACCATCTCTTGGGGTTGAAAGAGGGATCTTCGTCGATGGTGGAGGTTTGTCCATATCGGAGAGAAGAGAAATGTCCTTCGTGTGGACTCAACGAATGAAGTTGGTGTCAAGTCGTCGGAAACGCAGTGGTCACCCGCGAAATGAAATGGTGACCTAGTATTCGGGTCCCTCTTTTGTCCTACAACCGCGGAAAACCTGCGAAGATATGTTTGTGGTCTGGGCTTGTACAGTGCTGAGAGTGCTGCATACAACATGCCTAAATTTGTAAAAGTTTGATTATTTATCGAATACCGGCGTGAACGCATTTACGAAAACTTAGAAATAATAATGAGCAACATTAGGCAAATTTAAAACTTAAAAGAAGTATAAGAAGTACTAAGGGATTGTTAAGAAAAATAATTTTTTCTCGATAATCCCCAAGTTCTGGAGACGTACAAAGTAGCTATAAATTAGAACAATAAATTTTAAAATTTTGTTTATCTGAAAAGTTTACATAACCACTTTCTTTATATGAATCGAACTTTTCTTTAGTCAAAATATTTTGTACATATTACCATTAGTGGATAACTATTGAATATCTTCGAATAAAGCTTGTTATCATTGCGATCGTTTTCAGTGTCTTCGTTGATAAGTTAATAAATTGCGCTTCTGTTCGACGTTTACATCAAAACCTTTAAAATAAGATATAAATAAAGAGCATTTACCGAAAAATGAGTTTTTGGATATAAGTTCTTATGAAGATGGCCATGTGGATCATATTTATCAATGCCACAAAACAGCACAGCGAATTGTTGAGTTTGCGGAAAGTCCGCAAGATAACTCGGACATTGTTATTCCTAAGATAAATAAATAAACTTTCCATAATAGGTTACCTCTTTAAAAAGTGTTTTAATCAGATATTCAGCTGAGAAATTGCTGTGTATTTCAAATTTTTACAAGATAATGACACAATAAATTGGAGACTTTTGATAAATTTTTAATAAACCTGAAGACGAACGTTCATTTGGACCAGAAATGAAAGAACTTACTTTTCTCTTTATAATGGATTATTTTCCACATAAGTGGATTAATTCCACGATCTGTTATAAGCTTGCGAATGCAAAAAGGACTGACCATATATAGGGCAGGACTTGCAATACTGTATATATGTTCGCAACGCGTAGAAACCAATGAAGAATTAGCCCGGCGTATGCCCTATTTGAAAAGCTTTTGCAAATATTTAAGTTAAACTTCTCACGAGGACGCCACCATACTCTGGGTTTAATGCTGTTTCATGTCTTTATAGGTGCTTTTTGATTTTCACTTCATTTAAGATCGCAGCATCTGTTTATGTCCAATGACTTATGATGGATTTCTCATTTATTAGGAGTACCCATTACTCATCACAGTAATTTTAAGGCAGGTGATACTCCACGTTGGCCTCGTTGAACGAAAACATTTCCCCTTTGCTCTTGAATGCATATTTAAGTAGATCCAAAACTTCTCTCAAAAGGTTTATGCTGTATAGATGTCAAAGGACTCAACTGAAGTTCTACTTGCAACTTGAGCATAACGAATAGGTTGACAGTCTGTTAGAGTGTCTTCTGGGGATTCGCAATTCACAGCTGAATCTTCCTCGTGCTCATCTCCGGCTAGTATTAAATCTGCATTAATAAGGGCATGGACAATCAAATTTATACTGCTTAAACAGAAATTTATTGCCGAGTGTAGATGAACAGATAGAGGCGCATTCAGTAACCGCCATCTCAGTATGACTAAAATATTGTGGGACTATGGTGAGTACTAATCAATATTGCAGCGTCGCTGCAGTAACCTTTCGCAATCGAAAGAGCTCTCGAAAATCGCAGCTGATATTCCATGCAATTGGTCACTGACCGGGAATTTTACGACTGCGGGAGGGCTGGCCAATGACTACAGAGCATGGGCCACACTGGTTCGAGACCTCATGAACTCTTGACTCGGAAGTGGTGGCAATCGATATTAGTACAACTAAATATTTCGAAGGTTCTAGATTGTTGCTCCATTCTAATCATAACATTTAACCAGTTCGATGAACCCAAATGGTTACTGTTTGCCCTTAAATGTATTCCTCTCGTTACAAAATACACCCTTTTAAACGCAGGGTTTCTGGATTTGAATCGGCCTGACGTATGGCATACTCGGGAATATTTAACTGCACGTTTATTTCACGGACAGTAGATTTTGGCATCAATTGCGACATTTTTTTCCACATCTGTCTCCCACCTGTTCGCTTTCCCTCATTTGTAGCATTTGTGTTCTGTTACAGAAAGATTCGTCCTCGACCAACGGTTTCACCCATGACAACGAAGACGTAGCCTTACAACAACGTGAGCTTCTCTCAGACGTTACTGATACTGACAGCACCCTCAAACGTCAGAAATGCTAGATATACTTAACCCATTTGCGTGTAAAAAGGACTTAACGAAGCCCTCACCGCCGGTCCGTTGCAGCCGTCGCGGCCTCGCATTTCTCTTCAAGGACGTTCGATTAAATTTGTGTACTTTTTGCTGAATTCGGATTGGTCATTTTCCCCTCCTGTCCCCTCACCGCCGCCACGGCCTCCCATCGTGATCGGCCTTGAGGAACTTTGTACAGCCAAAAAATATCCCTCTTCAATATTTCAGCTGATTTCTATCCCCATCCCTTCTAAACTATTATGTGTTCGCACCGAATCTAGATTATAACCATTATCGGTGATCTATTTGAACCTTCCTACTTCCGGCTTGATTCTAAACAGCAATTTGTGATTTTTGTAAATTTGCCACTGTTGTTGTCTGTTCAGCCATCTCTTCTTCATGTGTAAGATGAACTGTCACTCTGTCCTCAACCTTTCATGCCCTTCATGCATTTTACTTTGAAACGGTTTACGAATATGACAGTGAATAAAATATATAAATAGTACAGAGAAATCCTGAATATTTATTTCTTCTGTAGATTGGAGAGTACTTCCGCATGCCTTGAAATCTAAGTCGAGGGACTCATTGTGTGGTAGATCTCTTAGCTATTCGAACTATCTGTCATACGGTATAATACCCTTTTTTGATATACTGCCTTATTCGGTCCAGATCTCTGTGGAACTCACACTTTGCTCACATCTGCTACAATACCGTCACTAGACAGTTCTGCGAGGTCTATCGGCCATGATCCCTTGTAAAGGGCTAAAGTGAGGGAAGCGAGGGGATATTCTGCCAAACGAGCTCAATACAGCCGCCAACTATTGTTTCGACTGGCTTTCCACTGGTCATCAGACTCGCAGACATTACCCTCACCCATTTTTCATAAGTAGAGCCGGGTCTTTCATTTCGCCCTGGAACTCGAGCTTTAGAGCTTGTGGGCGGTTGTATAGCATTATAAATTAGAAAATACAAGTTATATCGACAACGACAAGGGCGACCGGAATGGCCATTTCTGTCTCACTGCTCTTGGATCTTTCTATTTATCTCGACTTAACACACACCTACATGTGTTATTGGCATTTTGTGGTTCAACCTAATCAAATCCATCGCTAGGAGAGAAAACTGCAGTATGGAACAGAGTGAACATAGCTGACTGTTTAAGACCATGTAGCTTCTGATATCACTAGAGTCTTATTAGGCCATAAATGAGAACAAGGTACCGAGTACTGGCGGAGCGGGATGGCAAACTCTTTAAAGCCAACCGATGGCATCTCTTTTCCACAACGCCCAAAGAATTTAAACTCTTGTGCAAGGTGTTCGTACAAATCCTCTTAGTTTATGCGGTTAAAAAGTACATCTTTCATGGCACACAGTTTGATATATCGAGGAGCTGAACTAAGTTTAAACTCCATCGAAACTTGGCGATACTGGACGCCT